ACCAGTCATTCCGTGGGTTAACCAGCCTTCGATTACCCCACGTCCGACTACTTCTAAGTTGTTGATTCAAAGTACACCAGCAACCATGAAACAGGCATAATGTTTTCCCTTAAGTGTGCACAATGAATCAAATAGCCCAAGGCTCCGCTTCCACGCCAGTTGTCCACATTCGTGGTTGCATGGAAATTCCAAACTACAACCAAGTTGTTTATTGCCCAAACTACTACCAGTCGATTTGCTAATCTACCCGAGAAAGTAAAAAAAGAGAAACCTGGCAATAACACCAGGAATATTTATGTTGTTACTTAAATAAAATGAAATTTGAAATGACACCACTCCCTGCCGCTTTCCAAACCACTTTTAGAATTTGGAATATCTGCAGAAGATGTAATGATGAGCTGTCCGTATCTAGTTACAGCAGACTAAAATGAGCCTTCTTTTTCAATAGCCAGAAAAAGATTTGGCGTTAGAAAGGGTTCACGTCACCTTCTTTTGACTGACCTTAGGACGGAAAGGGCGATAACGTAAGGACAACGAAAAAACTAGAGTAATAAAGAAGTCCAAGCCTAACCGAGATGATTTGAGACGCCATAAATAGCCTCATTAGACCGACGAAGAGCCAATTTACACTTGTTAAGAGCGGATTAACTAGCAAGGTACTCCGCCTCCCAGAAAAGATGAACGTGCATTCACTACAGCATGATTGTGTGTCGATGGACGTTGAGTAGTCTTGACGAATTCAGGACAGTGAATTATATCCGAAACACCATAAAACCCCGCATAGATAAATACGAGGGTCATTAAAAAAGTTGAAGAAGGAAAGAGTAGCACTTGACCCCATAAGAGTGGGTCATGTAGATATTTGAATTCGACAAACCAACTGTTGTACAAGGTGTCATTCTGAGGTAGATCCAAGGGGCAAACGGCATCCTGTCATTCCTTTTGTGCTCGGCAAGAGAATACAATCCTATAACCAACTAATGTTAATGGAATACCCCACCGGATGTTCATCTTGGACTTAATCAGGTTCTGATTTTTGACTGCCTCGACTTCAACAAAATGGCAACCCTCTGCATCGTAAAGAAGAGTGATAGCATGGAAGAGCTCCAGAATACATTAATTAAAAAAATTACCCATAATGGATGAGAGTATCAGGAGGAAATGTCAAAATGAGCCAAATGACATTTTGATAACGACGGCATTGATAACGACAGCAGAAGCTCTCACGCATTAGAATATGGCACATAGGAAGAGAGGATACAAAAAAAAAAGAATGAGAAAGAGTGTCGCCTCTGCTTAGGTGGCAAAGAAAGTCTTAACAACTGCGGCGTCTTTCGCACACACACACGCACACACGTAGACAACACTCGGTCCTGTTATAGAAAACAAGATTCGGAACAACTCATTAAACCGTTTTGCGAAAGTTGAAATTCACAGATACGCAAGTGTGTGTAAATTGTTCAAAAGGGTGCATGCAGATTCGCGATTACGTTAAACTCCTGTGCAAATAAATGTCACAAATGTGACTGGAGACGCAAGCGGGCAGCGTCATTTGTAATTGGTAGTAGATATCAATG